TCAAAGTGTTTCTGGATTACTTCTCTAGCTAGGCAAACTCACACTCGGTGCCATCACTGCACACTGCAGCCGGCCTATAGTAGGATGACTAAAGGACTTTAACCTGTCTTGCCAGAAGGGCTCAATAGTTTTTAGAAAATAATTATCTGCCTGGTCTATGCACACACAACATTGTGAATAAAGTGTCCAAATACACAGGGTGCCTCCAAGGAAAAAAAGTACTTTTCCCTCTCTTTTTTTTGAACCTGATGACCCATGATTGATGCAGAAAGTCCATAGCCTTCCCTAGTTAGACTTGCCATGAGACAGCCTTTCACCTTTCTCTCACTAGAGCTTCTGAAGCTTTAGTTTTAGGTATTTTAAAAATATTTTCCACATTCTAGCAGAATTAATTGCTAAGGAAAAAAAATAGCAAAAGTCAGTCTACAAAAGTTAGTGCAACACAAGCTTGGAATACCTCATTATGTGCATATGGAATTCTAATTCTAAAAGTCATGCTTACCCAACCAGAATAGAAAAATTATACAGCATATATGTAATTGCCACAAAGTGACAACAAACAATCAATAAATGGTTGAATCAAATTATTCATCAATTATATAAGCACTGTCAATTACTTGGATAAAAAATTCCATAGACCTGAAATAAAGAATTGTTGTTAGGGGATAAGTGACAGAGAACAGATTTTTTTGTATTTCTACCATAGCTGTTTCTCTTCATATGTTTGATGCCATATATATGTGTGTGTGTGAGTATCACGTAGTAGTTTAGGATATTAAGTTTACAATTCAGGATTCTTTTCTTACCTAAAGAAAAATAATGAGGCAATTCCCCTGGTTGTTTTGGGATTTTTTAAACACATACAGAGAAGCAGCCCCAGTAGCAAATTATTTGGCAAGTCACTTGAACTTTTGGTGATTAGAGAATAACGATCACTTGTACACAAATTTATATAAAACTTCATGTTCTGTGGGTCACTTCATGTGGCCTTAAAGAAAAAAAAATTTAAAAATCCCAAACTTTAGTTAACACACAAAATGAAGTAATTTGCTAAGAATTACCGAGAAACCAATGGGAAAAGTCTTGTAGAAAAGTAACCCTTGCCTAGGATTCACGTAGTGTCTTTTGGCAAATGGTTCAAATTAGAGGACAACAGTTGGAATACCTAAAAATTACCGTCAAAAGTCTTCAGTAAACACAACTTTACATCATGGATGTTTTTAACCTCCTGACTCTTATCTGTTCGTGTTCTTTAAAGCAATGTCAGGGTCAGAGATGGAGATTGGTAGATGAGTTGTAGTATTACATCAAACAGAGCCTACATAAACATATACACTACTTTCACTTCATCAATGTCCCATGGCCTGTACAAAAGCATTGCCTTGTTGATTGATACTGCCCTAAGTTGTCATAACCTGTTCTAACATATGTTCATTACATTTATATAAATGAAATATGAAGTGACTGATTTTTATCTACCTTTAGTGCAGAAGAACATCTGTTCATAAAGACTGTTTTATCAGTTTTAGGTTTCCTCAGTTTAATTGTACAAAAGACAGAAAGGGAAAAAAGACTGGGCCATCATTTAGAGTTGACCTGCAATCGTAAAGGAAACAAAACAAAACCAAAAACACCTTCAAAATGTTTTATAATCTATGGGTGCTTTCAATTTATCTTTTGTTTATCTTACTGGGTAAACTGAAAAATCTGGCTTCTGAAAGGCTGCCAGTTGTTTGGAATTGCCTGGGCACTTCAGATACTGCCAGCTGCCTGACAGCAAGGGAAAATACGCCAAAGACCTGAAAAAATGACGGTGCTTTGGAAGAATTAGATTCTTCTGGAACTAATGGAAATTTTGTGACGTAGGCCTGTATGTCAGACAAGGACTCTGTTCTGGCATTAAGTGTCTTTCTTTATCTGGTTATTTAAAAGTGATGGTGATGAGTTAAAAAAAACTTTTTTTTTAAAAAAAAAACATTTCACAGGTATCATTAAAAGCTATTTCCTCAGTTCACATAATTATTTTTTTAAATACAGAAAAACTGCAGGCAGCTTTTGTGAAGCAGTCAGTAGTAGAATGCTCCTCAATGCTGTTCATACAAAGCTATCTAACACAGCAGAGACATACATAGATAAGTGAATGAATACATGCATACACATATACAGATGCATATGAGCTCTTTGGGTTCTTTGTCCTTTTACAACTGGGTCTACTTTTTATTTGTAATTTTTTTCACGTCTCTTCATGAAAAGGACTTTGTTTTGCACTGTTTTCTTTTTCTCTTTGAGGGAGGAAAGAAGACATATTTCTGTGTATTTTTCACTTCACATTGAATGGCGAAAGACAGATGTAAAAGAAAAAGTTAGAAATGAAAGGGGGGAAAGAACCTGAAAAGTCTAATTGTGATGTTCTGCAGAAATTGTCACACCCTAGGTTTTCAGCCAAAATTTGCTCCTAGTCAGATATGTGAAGTCCAAAGAATTATTTTAAAATCTGTAAAATTAGTTATGCTTAAAATCTTTTAAAATGTTAGTGAGTTTTAAGGGCTGCCAACTTCTGTGTATCCAGATAGAGATCCCTAAAACAACCTGAATTAAAATAAATAAATAAATAAATAAAAAATAAATAAATTAAGTAGTTAAGTGAAAAGTCTCAAGCTGTAAAAGACTGTAACCGATGAGAATGGTTTTAAGGACTGAGTTATGAATACGACAGGTTAAAAATTCACTGCATTAGAAATAAAATCTTTGGCATCAATACGAAAAAACAACACAAAGAATGTTAAACGCTGCTCTGCAGTTCTGCTTCACTCCACGCAAATTGTGTATTTCCAAAGAGAAGAACTAAATGAAAAAAAAAATCATGTTATATTCGAAGATGACTTGACAGTGGAATTTGCTATTTCAAGCTCAGTACATACTGCAAATACCAGGATAAAATAATCTGTTGAGCATAGTGAAGTTTGAATACTTTTGCTGTTATTGTAGTGACAACCGTTGCATGCAAAGGAGAAAAGATTTTTAGTCCCTCAGGTGATATGTGAGGACATGGAGAGGGTAACAGGACAGACAGAAAACCAGGTATCTCATTTATTTCTGGATTCTTTGACAAGCACCGGTTCCCCCCAAGTGCATGATGTTTTGCGGACTGGCACTCCTCTCGTCCCAGCAGGAGCAGCAACACTGAACCCAGAGGCAGGAGATGCCACCGGCTTCGGCGGCGCGGCCCCTCCCGGAGGTTACTGCAAGGGCTCCTACGTGCATGTGTGCAGCGGTTAGAGGATCCCGATGGCTTTATTACCCTCGGGGCCTCCTCTCTGGTATGTCGGTGTCCTCCTAACCTGCAGCCACATGACGAAAATTAAACAAGGGTTTGTTGCATTTGTTGCTGTGGAAATACGAAGTCAGATGCTTCAGTTTCAATGGGATTTCCGACCTCCCCTTTCCCCCCGCCTTTAAAAAAAACAAAAAACCAAAAACAAACAAACAAGCAAACAAAAAACCAAAAAACAAAAACCCACCATTTACACGTTTATCAAATGTCAAGAACAGGAGACATTTGCGACAGGCAAAAGGGGAGGGGGCTACCCCCCCTCCGTCCCCCTCTGCCCCTTTCCCCTCCACATTTTCCCTTGTTAACTGTGCTAGGGCAGAGGGGTGGGGGTGAGGGAATAAAAGCATTCCTGCATGTCTGGAGGAAAGAAAAAGATAAAGGGGGAAAGTGAAAGGGGAGGGGAAGAGTGGTCAGGGACTTGAACCGCCGGCCAAGTGATGCTTCTCCAGCCCTTCCGTTCAGACAATCGTTAACTCGGAGTTAAAGATTAATGGCCAGGCAAAGCACCGTATAAAGGGCCCGGGCGCGCCGGGTGTACGCA